CAAAGTTCCCAGTGTGGCCAGTGAGATCCAAAACCAAGTCTGTAAGTGTTTGATTCATACTAATTGATGCTAACTGTATAAATGATCGGCTGCACAAGGCGTACGAGGATTCACTATTTTGTATCTAAATAAAATTAAACAATACAGTAAAATACTCACTGATGACACAGAAAATAATGTAATTTACACACAGAGCAGATTAATTATTCCATTGATCACCATCACAGTTTACCATTTGTTATGTTTGCCCACTAAATTTAAGTTAATGCAGGCATTGGAGTAGAAACATTTAGTTGATTTATTGATCAAATAAATAAAATCAAATGCCAAAAATTAATGTTTCAGCTTCACAAATGTGAGTATTTTCTGATTTTCTTGGTCTGTTATGATAGTAGACAGCATTGGTTTTGTGATATTTTTCGATGTTATCTTTCTCACACTGGATTAAGGTTGAATTAAACCGCCCTACATATGACCAGCACTATTGTGCAGTGGGACTATACAGACTTAATGAAGTGACCCCCAACCTCTTGTAGTGCTGAGTGAGGATGAAAACGAGTTTAACGGCGTGTCTGAAGTCCAGTGATGCATGGTGTGCTGATGGCACAGCGTCTCTACTGTTAGAGGTTGTTTGTCCTCAGTAATCAGGACACTGTATAGCATGCATTTAAACTCCCACCATTTCTCCCTCCCATCTATAATCGTGCTGCTCTCTCTCTCACGCTCTCTTTCTCCTTTTTCTTCCTAGCTGTTATAGTGCAGAGAGTTCAGTCGGAGCTGTCTCAGCAAGTCTCTTCCCTGCAGAGCGATGGGCGGGTGAGTCGAGTTGCACCCACTCACATATGCATAGAAAACTGTCCTGTATAAACTGCACTCTGCCTCATATATAAATAGAGTCACCTATGAACAGTGATAGGAGACAAAGTTGCGCAGAAATACTGAGATGCAGTCTTGGTAGTGGAGTGGTGGATTTAATTCCGAAGTAAGAAATATCGAAAAGCAAAGACTAAAATGAGTTTTTCAGACGTTGTTTAAATCTCTCAGCTGATTATATAGTGGGGGATGTCATCGGGTACAGTGAATGAATAAATGTCGAGAAATCCCACTGATCTGAAAAGAATATGATCTCCAGAAAGGATGTTGTATCTGAAGGGCACAGAGAGATCAGTTGTAGAGATCAGGAATTTTTGCTTTCAGCTTCAGTAAAGTGGTTTGGGCACATAAAACGAGTCCTGTGGGTCCTATCAGACATTTCTCCCTTTTAGCAGATAATCATCCGGATTAGATCATATTTACAAAGGAACCCTCTCTGACTGTTCCATGCCGACACGCCCAGATTAATATTCCTCTGTGTGTGCAGGTGGATGGCAGAGTGAGTTATGGAAATGACGCTCTGATGCCTGATCAGGCCTACAGCTCTGCTCCTATGGACCCTGGCCTGGACGGACTGGGCTTCAACCAGCCCAACACAGAGAACCACGGTAACACACACACACACACACACAACCACACACAACACACAACACACACACACACACACACACACGTAAAGATACTTTGAATATCATAAAATGATATACTCACTGTTTACAGATGAAAGGTCAGTTAAGTTGAAGTGAAGTTCACAGACATCATATTGATTCATCTAGATCAGCTGTAGCCTCAGTCTGTGCCAGGGCCACTGGACCAGCTAACAACACAGCACCCAGCCATAAATGTGCAAATGTTCCACTGAGCGGTGTTAGATCAGTCGCCCCTGTGCACTTTGACTCTCCACATCACACATAGTTAATTCACTCACATTTAAATATGCGGAGGTGTTCTTACCTTTTAAAGTGATAAGTTGTTGCAAGGCGTAATGGGAGAAACTGAGTCACTGATAACACAGATTATAATCTCCTTTTTCATTTTTTTTCTGCAGTTGAACCTGTTGACGCTCGTCCAATTCCGGATAGAGGACTCCCCACACGACCTGGTGAGTGTGATTGTATTTCTATTTCAGGCTCTTTCCACAGAATTGGGAGATTATTCAATATTATCTTTGATCATGGTCTAATTGTTTCATAACATAATCCCAAAGGTTACTTTCAGTTTCTCAACAAAATGTATTAGGTGGATCCTTGTGGGTTTTTCTTCACTGCTTTGCTTTTCCCACTACTACCACTAGGGAATAGTGTGGGAGTGTATTGCTTCACTGGCATGCTGACACAAACAAAATGAGGACACACTTGTAAAAACATTGCTCCAAAATCCTACTACTACTGGTCAACATTGTATTTAGGACAATAAACTGCTAATTCACTACTGAATGCTGTTATCTCTTACATACTTTGTCTTTGTGCGCTCCTTTTGTTTCAGTATCTGCCCTGAAGCCAGAGGAGATGCCAGAAGTGCGAATGGAGACTGAAGAGAGGCAAAGTGCTGGTTATGAAGTTTACCATCAAAAACTGGTATGAAAACCATTCTAGTCCTACACAAAGAAAACATCGCCATGTCATTTATTTTGTTCTTGCTGTGTCTGTGCTTTGTGCACATAAATAGTTTTGTTTTTCTACTGGCAGGTGTTCTTTGCTGAGGATGTCGGGTCCAATAAAGGTGCCATTATTGGACTTATGGTTGGAGGGGTTGTCATAGCAACCGTCATTGTCATTACTTTGGTGATGCTGAGGAAGAAACAATACACTTCTATTCATCACGGTGTAATTGAGGTGAATAAAAGCCGTTATGAACAGGTGGTTTTGTGTGAAGCACAGAACAGAAATCAGTGTTTGTTGATCTGTTTGTCTACATTAAATTCTTTTGTTGACCAACATTCTTCATCTGTCGGTAGGTGGATGCAGCGGTGACACCAGAGGAGCGTCATCTGGCCAAGATGCAGCAGAACGGCTATGAGAATCCCACCTACAAATTCTTTGAGCAGATGCAGAACTAAATAACTGCTCGTCAGCGTTTTCTTCAGGCGTATCCCAACCCCACACTCTCACTCGTAGGGTCTATTTCATTCTGGTCCCTCGCCCTCAAACCTTCGCTTTCTCACCCTTTTGAGGGGGAAGGAAATATGTGAACACATTTATACTTTTACCTGCAATTGGTCAGACAAGGGTACCCTGTTTCACCTGCACATTTCAGCCAATCACAACAAAAACGTCATAGTTATTGTATTGACAAACCAACACCCTGTTGATGATTTATATGAAGTCACGGCAGTACTGTGCTCGTGGCTGAGACCAGAAACATGTAAACCCAAGCAGTTTAATTCAGTTACTCCCTCATCGCTCCAACAGTTTGTTCCATTTTCCTCAAACTGCCCCGCACATCCCCGCTCCCCTGCTCTCTGATAACAGCTGTGCTGTGTTTGATGACATAACAGTTCTTAGAACTGGCAGTGGGAGGAGGGGCTCTCAGAGCGCCTCTCCGCACTATCAAAGCCCAAGTGTTTCAGGTTTGTTTTTCAAAAAAGAAGAAAAAAACACAAAAATTCTACATAATCAAAGTATGTAAAAGTTGAAAAATATTGAACGTTTTGTTTTATGTTTTTTTTTTATGTGTAATATATTAAGACAGAGATTAGCTGTAAGTATATGTAGTGCATGGCAATATTGATGACAGATACAGTATACTGTATGTTGAGGTCCTCGAGAGCGGTCCTCTTACTAGATATTTTAGCAGGATTGTACATTTCTAGTGTCTTCTTTGTGATCTTGTGATATGAAGAAGAAAGAGTATTCAGAATCCGGTCTGCTTTGTTGTCACAGACTTGCTTTAACTGAATCTTGGCTCGTTATGCTCATCTCCACGCTTCACTGTTGTGTTAGCTGCATGGGCAAAATGCTCTATATGTAATATATGAAGTGTTATAGTATCCGAAAGGAAGATGATTTTGTTACCGTTTGCGTTCTATGCACTCTGTCATTTTGGAAGTCTGATTATTATCACCAAATATTATTCCTGTTAAGTCCCTGAGGTCAATTCACACCGTCGCTGGTTTTTATTAGACTGAGGATAAAGGTCAAATATTAGAAAGGAGGTTTTCTGAAAGTGTACCATTCCAGATTTTATCATTCCAGTCTCTCTCTCGATTGTAAATATTTGGAAGATAGAGATCCAACTCTCAATAGCCCAGTTTCATTATCAAGCTCCCATCTGTCTTTTCCCCTCGTTCATGTGTTCTCTGATCTTTCTTTCTAAACCCCCATTTGTCCTGTTTATCCTCTCTTTCTGGCTGTGTCAGCAATATTGTACAGTGCAGCACTTGGGAGTCTTTGATGAAGAGACAGGACCTTTGGGCCCAGGGAGATCACAGGTTTTCTAGGTGGTCCCATCCATCGCCACTCCACACACACATTCCTTCACCAAATCTCACACCTTCTATTTTTCTACATTTCCTGTGTATACATGTACAGTGCTTCTGTCTGTCCTGTGGTGGATATTTCTTTGCCTGCACATGTGTTGTCAAGACACTTAAAATTGTCTTCATGAAGGTGGCAATGAATTACCATGAACACAGGGAGGATGACCACAACTCACATCAGCGTAGACACATTTCCCTCTCCCTTAATTAAGTTATTACCGCCACCTCCAGTAAACATGAATGTGACATGCATATTGTGCATTTTATACCATAGAAATACAACACATATCACCTCTCTATACATTCTTTCCACATGTACACACTAACTGAAGCGCTTAATCAGGTGAATGTTTAAAATTTGTATTGATGCTCACTGTGGGTGTGTTTGGAGGCTCGTGTTTAAAAAAAAATGATGCATTTTTTCTCTCATTATTCAATGACCTTCCTCTGTGTGTAGTTTAATGAACCATTTGCATAGAGTAAGAACAAGCTTTCTACACTCACTATACCATGAATAAAATTTTGAATGTACATATAACTTTGTGGCTGTTTTCATTTTGAATCTCTTACTGATTTATACAGGATTAAAAAAAAAACAGAAATATTTAGATTCCAAAGCTTAAAAGATGAAATGACTGGATCACAAACGTTAAGAAAAATGCTTGCCACTTTATTCCCTTTAGTGGACAAAAAAGGTCCAACAATTTAGGGAACAAACACTAAATAAAATACAAAACAGGTCCTCTATAAATGGAAAATATGAAAATACACTTGTCCTTGTGTCTATCAAAAACATGAAGTACCGGTATATACAGTGGAAATTTGATCCTAAACTACAGACACATTACACAAAGCTCATATCTGGGTTTTCAGTCACACGTTCAAGCATTCGGTCACATGCACACAACAGCTCTCAGTAATCGCAGACACTCGCCATCTCATTCTGAATGCGCTTCTCTTGGTTAGCGTTAAAGAAAAGCTAAAAAAAAAGTTTTTACCTGCCTCCATGTAACTTGAATCAAACTGTAAAGACAATAACAATGATGTTACTCCACACTGATCAATCGTGGATCAGCTTTGCATTTCTGTGTCTAATGAACACAGCTGTGTCAGAGAAAGAAGAAAGTTAATTTGATTTCCAATCAGCTGCGGAGAGCGATGTTTTCCCGAGGCAGCCGGAGAGTGCTGTATCGTGGCGTTCTTCAACTGTCTTTGTCTAGTGTCGTGGTGGCCAGGGTCACTGTAGTGATTGGCTGGCCCATGCCGTGCATCTGCATACGAGCCAGTTTCTTCTGTTCACACTCGGTCACCAGGTTGTTGAGCTCAGCCGCGCTGTAGCCAATCAGAGTTCTCAGGTCGCACACAAACTTGTAGACAAAGCGCTTGCCTTGCACCTTGCTGATCATGTCCCCATCGTAGTAATACCTAGACGAGAATGTCAAAGTCAGAAAATCTCCTGACAGTCAAAATAAAAACATACAATTGAAGAGTATCACATGAAACTAATTAATAATGGTTGTTTTTCACCAGGCTGCCTTGCAGTTTACACGACATGAGATGTACCTGTGAAAACAGAACTATTCTATTACTCTTCTGTAGCCCAGGAGGAGCTTTGTTACCCACAGGTCGGACTCAAACCCCTCTCTGCTGCAATAGGGACTCAGCCTTGGTACATGGGGCACCAGCTCTACCGGGTGAGCTCTAAAGGTGCCCCTGAGACTTTTAACAGAAAACCTCTTTTAAAAACAAACCTGAGGGCTCTGCTGAGTTTCTCATAGTTCATAGTGGGTTTGTTTTTGCGCTGGCCCCATTTCTGCGCCACAAGTTCCGGCTGGTTGAGTTTGAACTCGCCCTCCTCGCCCACCCAGGAAATGCAGTCTCTGGCATCCTTGTCTGTCAGAAGCTCCAGCAGGAACTGCCACAGCTGGATCTGCCCGTTGTTGCCTAGCACAGGGAAACACAGCAGTCAGTGGCAAATAATCAAAAACAAAAACACTCACACTGAGTCTTTGTTTGTATTAAGTACTACCTGTGCGGTTGCCAGGCGAGCTGCGCTCCTCTCCTCCTGAAATGCGGGGAGCTCTAGGGCCTCGGCTCTGCTTCAATACCTTTATGGCTGTGGGTGTGCTCACTTGAGCCGGGATTATCTGCACAGCTGGAAATGGAAAAGACAGAGATGAACTTTGATTTGAATTTAAAGGACCACTGACATCTGGTGGTGAAGCTGTACATTGCAAACATTTGAGTACAGCTCCATTGTCCAAGCGTGTTGGAGAAACTTGCCAAAAATGTGAAAGGACGTATTTAGTGCAACAGACATTTTCAGATTTTGTGCAATTAAGTTTAAAAATGTTCATTAACATTAATTTCCCTTTTATTTAATTAAAAACTTACGTTGATCAATGGTGACAGTAGCGTCCCCTCCAGACTGGTCCTGGCTTGCCAACACATCTGAAATAAATAAAAGGGATTAGGGTCTTCATTTTTAACTCTTTCAACTCTTTAAAACACATTTTTGTCCATCAACTGTGTGTACAAACTGCACACACACACACACACACACACACTAAAACGACTATCTGACTTACATTTGCGCAGAAGTTCCAGGTGACTCCAGAGGATCTCTCCATTGGGCACTTTCTGAAGGAACTCTTCCTGGTTGAATGCACAGAGATCTCGACCTGGGATGTGAATGCTGCCTATTTCCATCTCATCGATGTTAAACTCCTTCATTACCCACACAGCCCAGTGGATCACCTGGTCAGCTGTCCAGAGCAGAGGGTCTGTGGAGAGAAAGAGAGAAACCTTATACATTAACAACCACATGATTTTAGGGTCGTTTTCCTACAGTAATGTATTTTATTAAAGTGTTCCTCACCATACGGTATTCCCAGGCGAACCTGCTCTTTGCGGTAGCCTTCAAGTGCTGCAGCCCAGCGTGTAACCTGCTCTGACGTCTCATCAGACAGGCCAGATCGCTCCACAGCAATGAGCTGGCCCTCCTCCACCAGAGCTCCCTCCTCTCCTGCTGCATCGGGATCAATCACCACCTCTACTGTTTCTACTGGCTTCACAATTTCCAAAATGTTCAACTTCTCTTCACCTGGAAGAGGGAGAAAAACACAGCTGAGTGAGG